CTTCCTCCCACCCGAGCCCTCTTCCCTCCCTCCCTCTTGGGCCGAATTCCTCCCAAGTGACGGCTCCCCCTCCTCAACGTTTCTACACACGACAAGGATTCCCCATGGTCATGCATGGCCGATCTGGAGCGTGAACACGGATTTGTGTTCGACTATCAAGGAGACATCGACGTCACCCGATCGCCGTTCTTTGACGTTGGGTTCGGATTCAACCACACCATCGAGGACTACTTGAACCGCATCCTTCCCCATCTCGTGGGACGAGCAACTACCGGCAGACGAGTGGACCATCACCAGGCGCCTACCCGCTCCCCCAACTCCAACTTCTTTCCTGGTGACTAGTCCCCTCGGCATCACTTGTTTATTAGTGGCATCCTTAAGTTTGTGTGCAATCCTCTTCCGCTAAGCCGAGCGACAACAAGAGCATATGTGAGGGACTCCGAGGTGAAGGAAATCTTAAACTGTGGATTTCTGCTAATTGCCATTTGTTTATTATTTATTTGGTAGTGTAATTTTGTTAGTCTCTTGTGCTTTTAATTGTAATCCATTGACATTGCTAAGTTTTTCCATGGAAATTTTCTGACGATCTATCTTGACACGCATCCGTTTATATTTAACTTCACAAGTTCATAAATCATTAATTCCTTCATGCAATTCTTGATTGTATTACATCATATTTGGTATCAAAGCATGATAGGCATAGGTGATATATGCTAGAAAACATCCTAGGAGTCTACCTAACCAACCATGTGTTTGTTGCAAGCATACCATTGCTTAATTAATTTTATTTCACTGTTTTCCCGGCTGTCCAGTAAATTCTTGCACCGTTTTTCATCATTTTAAGCAAGTCTACTTCATTGTTTAAGTGCTGTCCTTATCACAACTACATCCCTAATTACTTAGGATGCTTAAACAAATATTATTGGTTGCTGTCCAAGTTTTCCTGCACCAATTAGTGGCATATAGGTGAGTCTAGGTTTGTGTTTAAGTACTGTAGTTTGCTGTCTTGTTCATTTCAGCATCATTTAGAGACATTAGAAGCATATTTCCTTAGTGTCTAGGTGCTGTCCACCACCCCGTTACCTTCCCTAGTGTCCCCTAGCATTCAACCATGGATCCGGAACACATCCAAGCAACCTTAGACCTAATCGTGGGCCATCTTGGAATGGTTACACAACAAATCCGGAACACCCAGACCGACTTAGCAGACTTTAGGCGCCAAACGGGTGAGCGACTTGACAATATTGAGCGGTTAGGACACCCCACAATTTACACCCCTTCTAGGCCGTATTCACCCACTTTGTCATAACAATAGACCCAATCAGGACCCCGCAGGAAATGAACCCACTTGAAGAGATAACGACGCTCATCTGCTAAAGAACATCCGAATAGATGCTCCTTCCTACGATGTCACCCTCGACCCTCAAGTCTTCTTAGATTGGCTTAAAGAGATGGATAGTTATTTCAAATGTATAGCATCTTGAAAGTTAGGAAAGTTAGATTTGCTGAGATGAAGCTTACAAGTCGAGCTAATCAATTTTGGACTAACCTTGAAAACATGCGTGAAGCTCGAGGTGAGCACCCTATCACCGACTGGCAAACCATGAAGCAAGAGCACAAGAGGAAGTACCTCCCTCCGTCTTACTATCCTAAGCTCTTATATAAATGGAATAGGCTGACTCAGGGAAGAAAACCCGTGAAAGATTACATCTCTGCCTTCGATGACTTCATGATTTGTTGTAATAGCGAAGAATCCACTACCCCTGCTCAACTTCTATCCATGTTTAGAGCTGGCCTTAGGGAAGATCTCCGTAACGAGCTTTTCACGAGAGTTGATACGTTAGAAGCAACCTACAGTTTAGTGCTTGACCTCGAGGAGTAAAACCATTCCCACACCAAGCAGTTTGACTCCCACCCAACCCCTTATAGAGCTTCCTCCGGCCAACCCCAAAACCGACCCACGACCTCTATAGTTAACCGACCAACTGCTAGCCCAGCTCCACCTAGCCCTGATTTTAGATAGGGGTGTCAATTTTTGACACGACACGAAACACGACCCAAACCCGACCTGGAAAAATTCGGGTTCGGGTCAACCCAAACCCGAAACGGGTCGGGTTCGGGTTGAAGAAATCAACCCGTTTTAAAAATCGGGTCGGGTTCGGGTTGACACGGAAACACGAAATTGACCCGAAAGTGACACGAAAGTGACACGAAAACTCATATTTGACCCGAAAATCCGAGTTTGACCCGTTTTTGACCCGATTTTGACCCGAAAAATGAAGATTGACCCGATTTTTGACCCGAAAACTTGCAATTTTGGGTCAATTCCGGGTCATTCGTGTCGGGTCGGGTTGACCCGGACCCGAATCGGGTCGGGTTCGGGTCCGGAAACCTGACCCGTTTTTAAAAACGGGTCGGGTTCGGGTTGACCCGAACAGTGCCGGGTCAGTTCCGGGTTCGACCCGAACCCGACCCGTTGACCCGAATTGACACCCCTAATTTTAGAGGTAGGACCCCCAAGCGTGACACTCCCAAAGCCACTTCTAGAACCAAGTGTTATAGGTGTCAAGGGTATGGGCACATTGCCTCACAATGTTCTAGTCCCTAGAAGGTCACCATAATTGAAGAAGTTGATGAAAACGAGGAGGAGCCCGAGACTAATTTAGTTCATCACGTTGATGAGGAAGAAGACTCCTTCAATGAAGATCACCATGTTAATCTACAAGTCGTTAGATGTGCGTTTTCCCAACCAAAGCCGAGTGATGACTGGTGTAGGACTTCCATTTTTCATACCTTTATCAAGATTGGAGATAAGAGCTATAAGGTCATCATCGACAGTGGAAGCTGCATCAACGCTGTCCCTTCCGCTATGATTTCCAAATGTAACTTAAAGACGACACCCCACCCAAATCCTTATAAGGTTGCCTGGATTAACTGGACTTCCATGGAGATAAAAGATAGAAGACTTATTCCCCTCGAGTTCGTTGGATATCAAGAGAATATTTGGTGCGACATGTTGACAATGGACGTGGGGCAAATTATTCTTGGTCGCCCTTGGTTATTCGACAAAGACGTGCACATTTATGGGAGGACAAACACCTGCGTGTTTGAGCATAACGGCAAAAAGATAAATTAGTTCCCTCCCAACCTAAACCCAACAAAACTAATGCTAAACCTATCCCCGTTAAACCTAGCGAAGGTTTGAGCTTGTTAGCTGCTAAGGAAGTTGATGTTAAACTAAGTAAAGGAGCCCCTTTGTACGCCCTAGTGGCACGAGAGGTCAACCCGAAACTAGGAGAACCTATCCCTGAAGAAGTCCAACCCCTCCTAGACACTTTTGCAGATGTTTTTCCAGTGGACCTCCCTAACCATCTACCACCTTTGCGTGATATCCAACACGCTATAGACTTAGTACCCGGAGCCTCTTTACCCAACCTTCCCCACTATCGAATGAACCTGGAAGAGCACGC